TTTTTTTTCTCAGAGTACTTTTTGTAAGAAGGATTCAAAAAATCTGAAAAAAATCTATAATAAACTACAACTGATGAACTTAATGGGTGAAAAATAAAAAAATTTATTTCTTAGTAAAAAATTAGACTTTAATATAGCATACAAATTTCAATTTTTACTATGATTTAATATAAAAATTGATCTGTAATGTAAAACTTTTGACTGCCACTGTATAGTATTCCATTTTCAACTGTTAATAGTGAATGTGAATTTTTAAAGCTTAATGTTTGAAGATAAATTTATATTACTTTTATTAATAAAATTATAAAATTTAATGTGATCGATGTTCTATAATCAAATTCACGATACTTTATAATTCGAAAATCGGGATCTGCATCACGTGTTACATATATTCATAATATCGGTTCTAAAATTATAATAAACTAACCAAATTAATCGATTCACATCTGTTTTGTATTGATTTTTTTCTTATTGCGATATCTACGTGCACGTGAATTAGAAAGGGAAACTTTATTTGAATGGTCACAAATTTCCTTCAATGTGACCTAAAATGAGATATGCTAATAATTAGATTCTATATAATATCAATTACAATAACAATGATACAATACCTTAATATCTGACATTAGTCCATAAAATCCTTCAAGAATCGCAAGCGATTTCTGGGTGTTTGGCATTTTAGTATGAGAAAGTCTACCAAAACGATATATGTTTGTGGCCTTACAATCCATCCCATATGTTTCGTAAATCCACCCTTAGTATGAAAATAAAAAATATTGGTTGTTAAAAATTTAAATTTAATTATTGTATATATTTATTTACTTACCCCAAGATTGGATTCCAAGAACATATGTGCGATGGAGATCATCTCCAGATGCATTGGAATTAAATTTAAAGAAATCATATAAAACATCTCGCATAGCCACAGAAAGATCATTACGATCTTCTAATATTTTTCCGCGATTGGCAACTGGCAAACCACCACTTCTAAGTCCAATCATCGCTTCGAGACTATCAACACTGTTTTTTAATGTGCCACGAAAATCACACTTCTGGCCCATTTCTTCATGAAGAAAAACGGAGCGTCCTTCATTCCTTCTCCGGGAAGAAGCCAAGCAGGTGATTCCTCCACTACAAAATTGAAAAAAAATGTATTAACTAGATAAAAATCAAATAAATATATTTTTATAAATACTTACAAATCCATCTTAATGTCTTCTTTATTTAAGAATCGTTTTGTCAACATGTTAGGAAATTTATTATCGAAATCGCTCTTTGAAACAGATGATGACTCAAGCTCTTTTAAATTTTCGGCACTGTAAAAGAATAGAAAAGTTAAATAATTAATAACATAAAGTAACCTTATATTGACTAACTTACTATGTTATAACAGCACGTCTGATACTATTAACAATATCCTTTTCATCGTTTGTTAACTCAATGCCATTATTTTTTTCAATTATTTCTGGAGACAATCTCTCAATCTCCTCAATAATTTTTTCGTCTTCTTTGCTTGTTATCTAAAAATGAATTAGTTATCAACAATTAAAACTCTATAACAAAAAAACCTTATTACCTTTTCCACTTCATCAAAAAAATATATTGCAGCATCCGGTATATCTGATTCAATTAATGTTACATCCTTTTCAAAGCTCTCAGTTATTTCTTCCCAATCATTCTCCGAAAATAAAGATCCTATCAATATATCATCAGTAAGATCAAGGATGTTCCAATAGGCGAGACTATGGGTGAAAAATCCATAAATAAATATAATTATTAAATTTTATGACCTTAGACAATTCAATACTCACTTTAAACACCTTTGAGCCTCCGGAATAGTTTCGACATATCTAGCTAATACCTCTCCAACATCAGTACCACTACGGAGGACCCATGATCGACAGGTTTTTGACGAACCGCTACTATCTCCAGCATTTTTCTCCACCTCTACATAATCATTGATCTTCTCATTCATTTCTTGGCAATCAACTGTCTTTTTTGATGACTGATTTGATGGATCGGAAGTTTTTGGTCCTCTATTCTATTAATATTTAAAAGAAACAGTTATTTATAAAAAAAAAAATACTGTGGATCTTACAGTAAAAAAAGAAAAATGATAAATATTTAAGTACAAACCATTTCGGTTTCTTCACAACGAATTCGTTTTTATCGGATGATGTAGCTCTTCCCTTATTCGGTTTTGTAATGTTGCTCGTAAGAATTCTAAGTAACTGCACCCTCGACAAGGTTCTTTTCAATTTGTTTGTCTAAATTAAGTTGGTAAAATTCGGTATACAGTGTCTCACAACTTTTCAGAGCAGCGAACCCCTCGAAAGTTTCTTTACAGTTATAAAGCAAAACCAAAATTTGGCTTCTGCGTAAATATAAACTTTATATTCGTCAAAAACTTTAAATCTCAAGTATTTCGCGTTTGTCAGATAAACAAGGACAATGATCGTGATATATCAGGTGATTCGAATTTTTAAGTCGCGTCCACATATATGTGCTAGCCAATCAAAAACATGGAATTTGTAGTATAAATAATAATTTATATTATTACTAGTAGGTAAGACACGTCGTGCCTTATATTTAAAATTTATAATAATTATTTCTTTTCGTTCTGATTTTGCGAGGTAACATGTTACAAGTACTATAAAAAATTAAAGGTTTGTAAGTACATACATTATTGCATTAATATTATATTGAAATAATTTTTTTTTGTTAAATAAGACATTTCTTATAATCTTTATTAATAGAATAATTAAATAATATTACATAATTAATATTAATATACTGAGACATATTATTATATATATCAGTCTACTACTGTTCTAAATATATTTCTAATAAAAAAACTTGTGCCAAGAAAAAAAAAATAACTATTTAGTTTTGGAAGATTAATACTTTTTTAATAGGATTTTTAATGAGATTATTTTGTTTTTTTTTTTTTGCGAGGCACTTCTCAAATTGTGATCTTTATTAATTGTTGATTCAATTTTTACAGAGAAAAGACT